GGGGGGGGGGGCGCTGAGCCAATCGTGGGAGGGGAGGGAGGGTCGCTCACTGGAGCACTCACAGCGGGCAGCCAGTCGCCCCACTGACCCTGCTCAACAACCACCTCTGTTGGGGACAAGCTAACCTCACTCCCTTAGCGCCAATCCACTGAATCTGCCCACTGTTAACTGCCCCACCCTAGCACTCACCACAACCCCCTGAGGGTCTCCACCCTGGAAGTTGTCCTTAGGGTCTGGAGTTAAATCCGGCCTTCTGGGCTCCCCACCTAAAGGGGAGGCTTCTTCTGGCTGGAGGCTGACAGTGCCCACTAGGAGGGACCCTCACTAGGGATGGGCCCTCCCCAAAGCCTTCCCAGGACCAAACACCCCTGGGGGACCTTAGGTTTGCCAGTCCATGGGCCCCTGGGTGATGGTGTGATGGGGAGACCAAGGCCCCGCCCCCAGATCCAAGACCCTGACCACGAGGACACTTACCCTGTTGTCGCCTTCGGGCGCCAGAGGGTCTGTCATCCAGGATCCAAACCGCGAGCCGGAGGTCTTGACGGTCACAGGGTCACTGATGCCCGTCAGCTTGCCGCAGGCTGGAAAAGAGCGCACGCAGGGTGCAGGGAGAGGGGCGTGAGGGCCGCGGCCGTGACAGCCAGCCAGCCAGGGGATCCCTACTCAGGACAAGACTCAGTACAAGTCATGGCATTCACCAGAAGAGTACCCTCCACCCCCCAGGCTGATGTGCTCACCAAAGACCTCACTGACCCCCACGCCACGCTCGTCAGACCCCAGCTGGGAGAAGGAGGCTACCTTGGTGCAGGGGCTGGGGGGTCTCTGGGTGGTCTCCTGGAAGGGACGAGTGGTCTTTCTGCCTGGAGCCAGAGCCCAGAGTTGGGGGCATTGGGGACATGGGCCGATCACAAAGCCTTCGAGTGGGTGGGTCTGAGGTGTGACCGCAGCAGCCCTCCCACTGACAGATGGAGGGCAGGGCAGAAGCTGGACCTGCATCCTCCCAGGTCACCTTGGCCAGTGTGGCCATCACAGCGCGGACACACTCCCCTCGCTCCACCTAACCCACCATCTTGTATGGCTACGTCACTCCGCAGATCAGTGAGCCTCAGCCCACTTCTGAAGGGCCTATCGTGGGACCCCAGCTCCGCCACACCAAGGGCTGGCTCTCCCAGAGAGAGAGGTGGGGCTGTCTGCAGGGGCAGACTGTGGGGGCCCATGGAAGCCCTGTACCCCATGTGTCCCCTCCTTCTAGGACAGATCCTGGGGGCCGGCGGCCCTGCACTCCCCATTGCGTGACCCCTTCCTCCCAGGACGGACCCTGGGGGCTGGCAGCCCTGCACCCCCATCTGGATCCCCTCCTCCCAGGATGGACCCTGGGGGCCGGAGGCCCTGCACCCCCAGTTGGATCCCCTCCTCCCTGACCGCCTGGCCCGCCCTCGCCGCTGCGTTAGTATATGTACACATCGGTCTGCAAAGTTCAGGAAGAGCCTGGTGCTTCCAGAAGATTGCGAGCGATTAAAGCCAGGGCCGTGGTTTAGCCAGGATAATCCTGCAGAGTCCGTGGGGTGGGCTCGGAGGGGTGCAGCCACTCTCTTCGCACTGAAGGTGAGTGTGCGTGTCTCCATCAGCGACCTCTCACGAGATGGAAGGAGGGCCTCCAGCCACGCAGAGCTAGGCACGGCTGTCCTCTGGGTCAGCAGGAGACTGACTCTGGGCAACGCGGGGGCTCTGAGGCAGGATGAAGAGCTGGCTCTTCACCCAACTTCACATCAAGCCACATTTGAGGTCCCAAACCCGGCCACCTCTGCTGCGGCCTCCCGCCCAGATGTGAACACAAAATGCCACCAATGTCTCTGTGGCCTCACCCTTCTCCGTGGTTACCTCTCTCTGCGGCCATAGCAGCCCCTCTCCCGCAGAACTCGTCCCCGCCCAGGCTCCCGGGCAGCAGACATCGCTCAAACGTGGGAGTGCCTCGCAGGGCCCGGGCTTCATGGCCGAAACTCACGGCACATCTGCTCGGCTGCGGCCCACCTCCCCGTCAGCCCTAACCAAGCTTGGTCTGGGTGGAGAGACGGGTGGAAGGGGAAAAGGAGGCTAAGCAGGTTCCACCTTGTTGAGAAGCAAGAACAAGTGGGTAGGTGTCCGGAATTATTCTCCATGACTGGCCCAGGCCGACTTCCCCCACGGGCCTCAGAGGGACTTGGGGTGGGGTGTGCTGAGGCTTCATCTGGGGCAAAGGAGAAGCTGGAGACAGGACCCCCGTCTGGAGTGCCCAGCCACATCAAGGGCGTGTCCTCCTTTCTGCCCGTTAACTATGGGGAGCCCTGGACAGCAGCTCCCTCTGAATTCCCAGGGCCATGGCTAGGAAATGCCAACAGGGCCCCACTCTCCCAATCAGCAGCGCCCCGGCCCGTGGTGCCTCACACTCCCGACCAGTGGTCTGCATACACTACAGATGCACCACGTCCCCCGTGGATTTCCATGGACGCCTCTTCATCACTGACCCAGGGGGAGTGGCCCGTTGGTTGCCTGGAAGATGTCCAAAGGAGCCATCTCCTCAAGGGGGTGTCATGGCTTGGGGAACCTCAGTAGGTTTAGGGAACACCCAATGGCACATTCTGGGTTCCCGCCATTCACATTTCTACATCAGCACAGAGTCATCCATGGTCTTGGCTCTTAATAAAGCTCTGCTCCAGCCCCCCCTCTCGCTGGATGACCTCCCTGAAGGAGGCCAGACAGCTCTCTCTCCTCCACATCACACTCAGAAGGCAAAGCGGGCAGGGCGCCCCCGAGCAGGTCAGACGCCTGGCCCTGAGCCTAGCTCTCGTGCCTCCATGTCTTTTCGCTCAAGCTGTTTCCTCCACCCAGAATGCCATTTCCCCTCCTTCCCACCTCTCTTCTATGACTTTCCCCTCAAGGATGCCTCTTCCATAAAGACTTCCCAAAGTGTTCTCCACCCCCTTCTGAACTCCTTTGAATCATGTCCTTACTGCTCCTGCGCTGTGACCACATTTCCTGGGGCATCAGATACGCGCCCGCCCCTTACTGCCCCTGCTGCCTTACACACTCTCAGGGGGTGAGAAGCCTCTGCATTCACCGGGCTTCCCCCAAAACTCAGCACGGGGATGTGTACACAAACGTTTGCATGACTGAATGAATGAACGAACAAACGACTCTTCCCCATACACAGAACATGGGCCCCCGGGGGTTTCGTAGAGACACTACGATTCATCTTTCAGCAAGTCCTTATCCATCCACTGCTTCACTACCTGTTCCAGTGCGGGGGGGCGGGAAGGGAAGGAGGGGTGACCCGCTAGAGTACGGTGCTGCGTCTGGACCCCAATGGCCCACCCGCCATTTACTAACTGTGGGCCCCGGGCGCCGATCTGCGCTCGTTTTCCTTGTCTACAAAACAGGGGCACGGTACTGGCAACAGCCAGCCCAGGGGCTTGGAATGGAGGACTGGACCATGGCGAGGGTCTGCAAGCAGGCCGGGCAGGCAGTGAGCGCTGCTGGGCATCACAGGCATCACCGCTGCTGGGAACTGAGCCCGAGGCCGTGGGGGAAGGGGCCTGCCCGCAGCTGAGCTCAGGACAAGGGCCTGCCTCGTGCTGTCGCCCGGTCCTGCGCCTCCGAGCACCGCCGAGCACTGCCGAGCACCGCCGAGCACCGCCGGCCTGTGGCTGCAGAGGAGGGAGGCTGCAGGTGTCTCGGGAAACGACCTCCTGGGGAGAAAGCCCTTGCCAGGAGTCAGGGTCTTCCATCTCCCCATCCTAGGCACCCCCTGGCAGCAAGTCACTGCGGGTGCCGGGGGTCAGCAGCACCCTCTCCAAGCCGGGCTTCCAAAATGAAGACTTGGCCTGGGGGAGGGGCCTCGGCATCATTGATTAGAGGGGAACGAGGGCTGAGCTGGCCTCCTGAGCGGACTCGCCTTCAGACTGGCCATGGGCACGTTCCCTGGGGCCCACTGGGCTGGAGCCGCCCGCCTTCAGTCAGGAGTTATTTTTGGTTCTCCATCCAGACTAGCTCTGCCCAAGGCCTCGGAGCTGACAGGACCTAATGATGCCTGAGGCAGAGTGTGGCAGAATCTTGGCACATTCAGTTCGGAGAGGCTGGCCAGCTCTGCACAGGCTCCAGCTCCGCGGGATGGTCGCCGCCCACGTGAGGCAGGTCCAGAGCCCGGGAGGGTCTCGGGAAGGAGGACGCTCTGCGGAGCTGGGCACTTGGACAAACAGATGCCCTGCAGGTGCCACATCCTGCCTCTTGCTGTTTCTAGGAGGCCCTTTCTACCTACAGCCTTGGTGTTCTCAAATGGGCGAGCTGAACCGGCCTGGGGTGAAGCCCCCGCCACAGAACTCAGGACACTGTCCGCCATAAGACAGGCCAAAGAAGGCCGACCCTGAATCCAGAGATGGCCTGGGCCTGCCGCCAGCCTCTGGCCAGTCCGCCCGGCCCCAGCCTTCATCCCCTGAGCACGAGAAGAGCCGGCTGGGAGACCTTTGCAAAGCCGGGCGCGTGGACCAACCAAGGCCCTCGCGGATGAAATACTCTGAAAATCGAACAGCTTCCCAGCCAGGCGGCAGGCTCCCGCCCAGAGCCTGGGCTGCAGGAGCTCGGGGCGAGGGTGGGGGATGTGGGACCACCCAGCCCCTCCCCATGTCCTTCCAGAGTGCCTCCTGAACCCAGAAAGGAGGGTGCTGCCCTGCCAGGACCCACTGAATCCCCAGGCGAGAGGCACGCACTGGGAGCAGGCTCACCTCCTCTGTCACCCGGGCAGTCTCCTCCAGGCTGAGGGTCCAACACTGACCTCACTGGGCTAGCTCTCTCTCTCTCTCTCGCCTCGATGGAAGGGGCCAGCCCGCGGTGTTGCTTAGCCCGCTGTCCTCACCATGCTCTCTCCCTCGCTCCTTCCAGGCCCCTGGGGAGGATCAAGGACCACCTCTCTGCCTCCATGGCCCTTCCTAACATCTCCAGGGCTAGGGAACAAGAAGGAGACTCCACACTTGTTTCCCCAGGACACGGTGTCAAAGCCCAGCCCTGCTACCCCAAACTGGGACAGGAGGCCCTGGCTGGACTTCACCCCCATATGCCAGGGTGGGCTCAGCTCCGCTCCACTGTGGGGGATTCTGCAGCTGGCACTGCAGCCTTTCTCTAGAAGTGTTCCCAGGCACACAAAAAGACCTCCCTCCCCTCACCCTGGAGCCAGCCTCCGCTGTGCTTAGTGGTGTGTGGGCACTTTCCTCCCACCCTTTAGAAGGAAAGAGATGAGGGAAGCCTTTAGCATTAGAGGCACAGGATGGAATAAGGGGGAGAGCCCCTCAAAATCAGCTGCCCCATTTTACAGAGAGGGCAGTGGAGGCCCAAATCTCAGGGCGCTTGGTGTGCCGGGATAGACAATGCACTGAGCAGGTGTGCGCGGGGCCAGCTCCGTGTCAGGGTTAAGTCTCTGGCTTCCCCCAGATCAGCTGCTGGAGCTCCTGCTGCTCAGAGCCACATGGGTGCGTGGCCCAGTGGGACTCGGCGAAACCCTGTGCACCAGCTCAGGGCGGGCCGCTGGCAGCTCTGCCCTCCCTTGCCCGGGAACTTGCTGAGGAAAAAGGGGACACCAGGACAGCAATACCAAGCTGCCTCCTAGCAGAAGATGTCCCAGAGACCCGGAGCTCAACCTCGCTCTAGAAGCTTTTCTAAGTAAGAGCTTTGGCTGGGCTCTTAGAAGATTCTGGCTGGGCCACCAAGAAAAACATACAAAGCCGTCGGAAGACAAATGGAATCTATAATCCCTGGTTGGGTATTTTTGTCTAGGTACATCTGGGGTCAAAAAGTGTCAGCAGTTTCAACTTGAAGAGAAGCTGGAAAGAAGGCGAGACCCAATTCAGAGCAATTCTGGAGAACTGCAGGGAGACACACTCCCCTCTCACCGTTACACCGGGAAGGCAACCCGCGCACCGTTCACCAGACCAAGGAACCTCCGTCAGCCTCGCACCACGGGAGCCCAGGGACAGAGGACAATGTCAGCTGCTGGGCTGCCAGGCTTGCAAGTCCTCCCGACCCAGGATGGCTAACAAGGCTTGCTAGCAGAACGCTGGCTTCGTCTGTGCTGTGCTCATCTGCAGCCCCCAGGCAAGGAGGCAGGCTGCTAACATGGTCTTAGACTGGTGCCTGTTTGCCAGGCTCAAGGAAACACTAAATTATGCAGTGACAGGATATTAATTTGCTCCTTAAGTTACCGAGATTGAAAGAAAGCCTGGGAAGACAGAGGAGCAGTGGCTGCTAAATCTGTTTTCTTTCCTCCCTCCCTCCCTTCCTTCCTTTCTCTATCAATCAATTGATCAGCTATCTATTATCTATCTTCTGTCAATGAATCTATCTATATATCTATTACTTATCAATTATCTTCTATTTAACTATCTATCTACTATCTACCTTCTATCTCTACTATCTATCAACTATCTATTTATCATTATCCATCTGCTGACCGACCTACCGACTGACCTATCTATCTATCTATCTGGAGGCCCGGTGGCACAGTCGTTAAGAGCTCGGCTGCTAACCAAAAGGTCAGCAGTTTGAATCCACCAGCCACTCCTTGGAAACCCTGTGGGGCAGTTCTACTCTGTCCTGTGGGGTTGCTATCAGTCGGAATTGACTCCAGAGCAGGAGGTTACTGGTTTACAGGTAGCTATCTATTTCTTACCACGGACTACTCCCAAAAAGATGAACGGGTCTGTCTTGGAAGAGTACAATCAGAATGCTCCTTAAAAGCAAGGACGGCGAGACTGCGTCTCACATACTTTGGACATGTTGTCAGGAGAGATCAGTCCCTGGAGAAGGACATCATGCTTGGTAAAGGAGAGGGTTAGTGAAAAAGAGGAAGACCCTCAACAAGATGGACTGACACAGTGGTTGCAACAACGGGCTCAAGCATAGCGACAGTTGTGAGGACGGCGCGGGACTGTGCGGTGTTTCGTTCTGCTGTTCATGGGGTGGCTATGAGTCGGAACCGACTTGATGGCACCTGACAACCACAACATCCATCCACCTACCTACCTGCCCATCTGTCTATCTAACTCTATTATCTATCCACCTATCCACAATTTCTTCTCTCTCATCTATCTACCTATCTACCTTATATCCACCTGTCTATCTTTTATCTATCAATTACCTATCTTCTATTATCTATATTCTACCTACCATCTGTCTATTACCTATCTTACATCTACTTACCTAACTACCTACTACTTACCTACTTATCTCCATCTATCTACCTATCTGTCTGTCTATCTATTATCACCTATCATCTGTCTATCATCTACCTAACTACCCATCATCTATCCCTCCACCCTACACTCCAGCTCTGTTTGTGGACAGTGTGGTGCCAAAGGTGTGAGTGAGCCCTGTGAGTGCAGAGTTATCCCGGGGGCGGGGACTCCCTGTACCTGTAGTTTATAGATGAGGAGAAAGCTACAACCTGAGATGGTAAATGCCGTGGGAAAGCCACAGGGCTGTCTGGTGGCACTCGCTACCTTGCCACCCCACCTCCCGGGACAGGGTGCTCACTGTCTGGCAGTCCTCAGTGACCGGGTGCTGGTGAAATGCAGACCGCTCGGCCCGCCCCCAGAGATTCTGACCGGGGGTCTGTTTCCATGACACAGTCTCTCCAAACAAAGAGGTAAACACAGAGGTAAAACCACAGGCTGCACTCCAGGTGAGAAAGAATGGTCTCTGGAGGCCTATTTCTCCTCTCTCGTTACTCCCAAATCAACCTTTTTAGCACCCCAAGGGTAAACATGTGAAGCCCACGAACCTAAGCCACAAGGTAAACTCACCCAGCTTCTAAAAACAGGCCAGCACAGATGGGAAGGCTGGTGCCTCCTGAGAGGGGTGGTCCCTCCCCCTTGGAAAAGGCCTAAACGTCAAACGTTTTGTGACTTCGCGCTCTGAATTTCCATTTTGCTCCCCTGATCCTTCGTATTTTGGAAAAGGCGGAGGTTTTATCTCGGCTTCTCCCTGGTATGCCCAGCCGGTATGTCAGGAAGGGGAGTTGCCCCTTGTAGGGAAATAACAAATTACAACCCCCACCCCCAGCTCTAGATTCCTCTGAGGCCGAGGGAGCAGCCTAGGAGGGATGTTTGGAGGGCCTGTCCTCCTAGCCAGGGCCTCGAGAGAGAGGGACGTGAGCTCAGAGCCACTACAGGTGGAAAGCCAGAGGCTGTGTCCAGAGGAAATAATCGCCCAGCCGAGCAGCTATAACCATGAACATTGCAAACATTCGCACAGACTCCTAGGATGTCAAAATGGGAAGAGATGTAGCGATGGCCCAGCCCAGCCCCTCCAGGGACTCAGTCCCGCAGCCCTGACCCACCAGGACCCAGGATGGCATGGCAGCACGACTGAAAACATCACAGCAGACAATCCCTCGTGTGACACCGCACCCCTGCCCTACACGCACTAAAACGGGCCGTTCTTCAATCCCCGCAGCTCTCATTGTCTTCTTAGACCTTTATGCCTTTTCTGAACGCTCCTAGTGCAGCATTACACGGGTCCTTTACAAGTGGGACCCTGTTTAAACAAAAAGAGGGGCCAACTGAATTTTCTTCCCCACGGACTCTCCTCTGCCTTGTACGTTCCTTACGAGAACAGGGACTTTTAAAGGCATTAGTTCTTTTTTGGGTATTTTCGGTTTGTAGTAAGGCATTGGGGCAGAGAGGATAAAAAGGGAAGGGAGCTGTAACAGCAGGTGAGGCCTGACGCCAGCTCCCTCCTAAAGGAAAACTGCCCTCAACGTTGCCCGGAAATACTCTTAAAGGCATTCAATATGAACACGAACAACCTTTGTGCTATATTTAAAGAAAAAAAAAACACCACTGGTGAGGGGGGCCAGCTAATCTTGGTTAAGAAAACCTAAAAATGGAATGTGGATTTAAAATGTGCTATTTAAAAGCGGACTCAGACACTAACATGTTAAGATTTGTTGAAGCAATTAACTGGGAAGTTGATGAGGAAGTGGGCATTTAATCATGAAAAAGAATTTAAATAGGTCAATCCACATTGGGGGTCCTTCTCAGGAAAATGAACGGGAGCGAGGGGCTAGTTTGCTCAGAGGTGCCCCCCTTTCTGACTAGCAGGAGGGCCCCCTCACTGGCTGTGGGTGTCAAATCTTCTGCTGTGATGTGATTGGATTTTATTTTCCTTTTTATTTGAACTACGCATGATTCAGTTTCTGGAGCAGTTTCATCAGCCCTCCTCGTCAGCCTGGAGAGAATGAGGTGTATACTCCCAGCCCTATTAAATCGTGTCTTCGCAATCCACCCCAACACGCACACGCACACATACACTCACAGTTTAGATGGGATGCCACATTTAATAGCATCCCTTTCTCCCCTGTTATCCTCCTCAGTGGGGTCTGTGAAGTAGACTTTGCCCAGGATTGGGACAAAGCCCTGGGGTAGGGGGGTGGAATGGGTGCTGCCTACAGGCCTCCTCTGCTATTCCTCGAGGCAGCCCTACCCGCAAGCCCTAAGCAGCCAGCCGTCACCTCGCTGAAGCCAGGCAGGCGCTGTCCACTTCAGCACCACTCCCTAACCCTGTGCCGTGTGGGGAGGTGGCCAGTGCGGCGCGCCCCGCCCCGCAGGGTTCTGGGCCTACCTAGTTTTTGCATGCATGCACGGAGCCTTTCTTCAAGATTGGACACTCTGCTCTGGAGTTCATCGTAGTCATAGGCGCCAATTTCCTCTTGCAGCTCGTTAAGCACTGACGTCAGATTCTGGACCTCCTCTTTAAACTGCAATACCAATTTGGCATCGGCCTTGTACTCTTCCAACACAGGTATCAAAGGCCTAAGTTCATCCATTTTCGCTTTAATCGCCTGCAAGGTTAAAATAAGCTGGGTTCAGCGCGATGCGTGCAAAAACTCGTACCACCCTGCCTTGGCCTGGCTTCTCCCTACACGAGAGGAAATGTGCACACTGCCGCTGTATTTATAGATTTATTCGTTCTGGTCCACAGGGGTTAGAGGAGCATATTAAACAGTCTTCAGAACACCAACATCTTTGGGAAAGGTCTTTATTGTCAGTTCAGAATGCAACATCTGGAAGTTACATGCTTTAAGTCACATACACAAAGGTGGTTTTTTTTTTTTTTTCTTTTTCAAAAAATGCATTGACAAGGGTTCAAACTATTCATGAAATGCATCTACAGTCGCATGCAAAGGAGGATCCTGGTTGTATTCAAGGTTCCTTATGGATATGGTGCTAAGTATTGGAAAATAATATTAAAATGCACGGTGCAAAAAAGCTCTCTGGCTCTCTTTCACTGTTACATGGGAGTGAACTGCTTCTTCAGTCACTGCAGCATTGAAAAAAGTCTTAAGTTAGCCCTGCAAGCAAGAAAATGAAATACTGTTGAAGAACTAGCTCACTAGCCTGCCTGAAACAATAGCCATTAATAGACAAATACTTCCATGGGCACTTACAAAAAAAAGAAATGAAAACAAACACACACTTTACTGCTGGAGTTAGCTGAAATGAACTGCTTCGGTGGTGATTGAGATTCCTTCACAACCGTTTCTGCTGACATTCTGTAACACTGTTTAAGCATGGTAAAAGGCAAGGGATTGCTTTTCTCCCCCTGAAAGCGTACTGCCCCGAATTTTTGAACTCGGAGAGATGCGTGTGTGGGCCATGCCTGCAAATATGAGCTGCATCCCCCACCCCTGGCCTCTAAGGGGCCTGAGCCTGCCACCAAGAAGGGCACAGGCCCTTTGTGGAGATACACACGCGTTGTGGCCAGACAGGTCAAAATCTCTTTCGAAGCTAATTCCTGATGACACGTCAGAAGCAAGGACAAATTGTCTACCTGCCTGTGATGAGAACAACTGTCTCATTCCCCTCAACAGGATCAGGCCGCCATTATGTTATTTATAATATAGATTTATAACTTCATTAGCTTGCCATTTGGTCTATCTAATGGACTGCTTTTAAAAGAGAATTAGTTCTGGCTTCACGCAGGGAGTGCATCAAAGAACAACATTAGCATAAAAAGGACAGGAGGGGGAGGCAGGGAGAGAGCACACGGGCAATTCTCACCGCTCCGGGGTAGGCTGTGTAATTGGATCTGTGCATTTGCACCCAGGCTCCATTTCTAATTAACATGCGTGTGTACCTTAATCAAGGGGCAGATCATTTCTCAATTTAATCATTCCGAAGCTAACCAAACTATAGGTGTATACGTACATATTGGCATATATGTATACATAATCTTATGTCAAACAAACTCCGGCTTTAATATCCACAGCTGCCTGGGGACAAGCGACACCTACCCACCAAGTGAGAAAGACTCTGGTGTCTCCCGCTTTCTTCCCTGCAAAGCTACAGTGTGCTTTGTCATAGCTGAATGAGGTCAGACGTGAAAAAGCGCCCCGAGCAATCCCTGTTCAGATCTGGCTCTAATCAATTAAGCTAATACTTGGCTAATAAGATTTATCTGCAGCAGCTGCAGAATGACAAGGGCTGTGACATCCCTTCCCCAGCTAATATGCCACTTGGCTAGAGAAGCACGGGACCTGGGACCCCAGCTTCCGACCCCGACTGACTGATGGGTAGAAGCTAACGTGTGCTGAGAACGGACGGCTACCCCAGCCTGCCCCCGTCCAGGTGTCTTTCACCAAACGAGGGCGAGGGCAGGTGACCTCTCTCCCCAAGGGCAGCAGCCGTTTGCACAGCAAAGAGTGATCCTGGCTGTGCCCTCCACAGCCCCAAATCTCTGTTTCTGGGGGGAAGGGGCAGGCGTGAAGGGAACACAAGCCCAGCCCTGGAGGAGGAGGAGGAAGGCACCTACCTTGAACTGCCTGGCCAGGTGTTGCCTGTGACTCTCCTCCACTTGCTTGAACTTGGACTCCAGACCTCTCAGCTGGTTCTCCATTTTCTCCACGTACTGCAGGTCCCTCTGGGTCCGCCTGTCCAGGACCTCTATGGACTGAGACATGTTCTGCACCTGTCAAGAAGGCAACAGGTTCACGAAGGAGCTGTGGCGGCACCGATGATCTCATTTGCCTCCTAATGGGGGACACTGACCTTTCCTACCAGCCAGCGCCCAGGGAACCAGAAGAGGCCATGCATTATTCACCAGTTAATCACCAGCATTGACGACTGTTACGACCAAGAATTCCCCAAGCGGAGCAAATTGGTTTGGTAAATATTCCTCCGCCACTTTCCAAAATGTGTTCTTACAATCGGGGATGCAAGCGAGGTACAGGAGCCTGCGTTTCCTCACGGGGTATGGCTGCAGGCAAGGGGCGGTGGGTGATCTAGCCATTTCTTTTTCTAGGGGGGAGGTATTATTTCTATTTTGCCGGAGGAAGTCTAGCTAAGCAAGCGTAAGTACCAACAGAGAGGAACGGCACTGTTGGGCTGCCTGCCCCACCAGATATACACTCTTTTTTGCCGTAAAGTTCACTGATGTCTTGAAGGAATGGGGAATGGCTCTCCCAGCTTTGGCGGCGGGCCCGTTTCCCACCTCCTATGCCATCCATCACACCTGCAATATCATAAGCAGATGACTGCTCTGTAAACATGTACATTCAGAACGTACAGTCAGGAATCAATCACCCAGCAAATGAAGAATTGCTGTTTTACATCTTCACAGGCAGCTTGGAATTGAATCTAGCTTCAAGATGGAACTTTAATATTCAACAGGATTCCAGAGAGCGTAAAAGAAAAACAGTCTTAGTGCAGCCACCTGCCAGTGCATCCTATTTGCAGGAAATGGGCTCGCACTCCGTGCCAATGCGTTAGGGCTCGGCCAGGCAGGAGGTCTCTGGGGCTTCCTGCAGTGGCGTTTGGGTCATTTTCTCGGATTCTAATCCAATTACTAGTGGAGACGATACCTCCACAACAGCAAATATTCATTTCTGATTTTTGCTGAATGTGAAAATCCTCTCCCTTCTAGGAACAAAATCTTTTGGGTGCGAGGCTCAGCTTTAGCTGGTCAGTGATGAGAAGTGATGGGCTTGGAGTTTCCACCTCACTTTCCACCCTCCGTCCAGCAAATAAAATTAAATTTAAAAAGAGAGAGGGAGAGAGAGAAGAAGCAATCAAAAGGGTTCTTGGTAGGAAGAAGACAAATAGTGCCTCTCTCAGCACTTAAAATGGAATTTTATGACTTGTTCTTTGAAAGTGATAGACACAAATTCAGTTTAAAAATTCAGGTTTGTAAACCACAGTGTGGGGGTGATTTTTCCTTGCTCTGATCCTTTCTCCCTAGAATGGCTGGTGGGAAATTGAAACAGTTTCTCTGTTACCTGCTGTCTCTTTGTACTCCCTCACCCCTCTCACTCTGCCACTTTGGATAATGGCAGCACCGCCTTTGAGAAAAGCCACAAGTCTGTTTCCATTCATCCTTCAAGACCTAGTCCCCCTGCCACCTCCTTTAGGGAGCCTTCCCTGATACGCTGAACCAGCAGTGGCTGCACACCCCTTGGAAACAACAGTACCACCTTGCTGGCACAGTGCCCCGCCCAGGAGTAACCCACACACCTGTCTCAGGTGTCATGGACGAAGGGGCCTGGACCTCTTGCTCATCTGGGACCTCAGCACAAAGTCCAACACCTAATGCTCAGAACTGTCCCTGCAGCCATGTGGCTGGGAGGGAGGGCCATGCAAAGGACAGCTCCAGCCCAGCCTGCCCACAACATCCACAGAAGCCAGGCTCCCATTCAGGCTGGGCAGAGCTGCTGAGCCCACCGGCTGTGCTCTCGGGCTTCTGGCAGGAGACCACACGCGGCACGATGGCCTTCATGCTCCCCAGGGAATACACACTTAAAAAATTTAAAGATGTCACACTGCTCAGCTGCCTTCACACAAAGTCAGTCATCTCCTATAATTCTCCCTGCTGGGAATAAACATTTTCCTTTCTGGCCAATTAGCACAGGCGTAGGGGAGCCCGGAGCGGTGACTGAGCCTAAGGGCACAGTTGCTCTCCGGCTCTTTGGCCCCCGAGAGCACCACTGTCTACGTGTCTGAACACTGGCATTCTCTTACTCGTAGGGTGTGTCCCTGAAGAACCAGCTGACGTTGGCTCAAAGTCACGCCATGACTAAATGGCAGAGTCACCCATGCCCTACCCAACACGAGGCAGGTGCTAGGAGGGGGGCAAGGCATCAGCAGCATGCAGCAGACGCACCCCCAGCCTCAAGACAGTGACCGACCGCAAACGCACTCAGCATTCCCAGTGCTCCAGGCGCCGGGATTTCTCATTCCACCTCCGAGATATCATTTGATCTGATATCTATATCATGTCAGCGTTACAAAACCCTAGGAGGTGACACAGTTTTCAGTCCCATATGACAGATGAGACCAAGGCTCAGAGAGGTTGAGCAACTAGTCTGCTGTCACACAGCTGCTTCATCTGGGAGCCCAAAGCCTCTGCCTTTAAGCTCAGGGCCAGAGTTTCTTCAACAGAACAGAGCCGCCTCCCCACCTCCTTCTGCACTAGGCCGTCAGCGTCAGCGGAGGAGGAAGTCGGGGGGCTTCAGCCTTGGCTGAGGACTCCAGGCCACTTAAAACTGGAAGCTCTGTCGGGGGACCTGGGGCTTGTGCTTTCGGAGAGCACCTGGTGGACCTGGTGTGGATCCAGGCTGGCAGAACCGGGGAGGACTGAGCTCCACAGTGACCCTGAGCCCAGGGACAGAGGCTCGAGCAGAGCACTCCCCTGCTTCTGCCGCCTGGCGGTGCCCTCTCTGCACCCCTCCGTGGGCGACAGGAAGAAAAGAAGGAGCGAAGACAAGGACAATCAAGGAAACAAAGCATGGGAGGGAGGAAGGAGGGGCAGCATACTGGGGGGGGGGGACATGGCCTCTGAAGGCCGAGTGTCCACTACGGTCTACAATAGGGTTGTCATTTTTAAAGCACCAATTCGGTGACAAGCTTAGGCAGAAAGGAAAGCCCCAAGGGCTGCGTTCCTAGGGGCTTGTAGAGCTTTCTGGAATGTATTTCTGCACCGTCTGTCCTCGGCCCTCCCTCCCATTGTCTCTTCCCCGGAGCCCTGGGTCCAGTTCGCCAGGCCCCTGCCCTGCCCTCCAGCGATCCCAGAGGCACCTCAGCTCCCTCCCCTGCAATTCTGAATAATTAAAGCCTCAACTGGGCTTTGGGCTGGCTTGGTGTTAACAAATGTTTGTGGAATCTGTTAGTGCATTGCATTTTTGTTCTTTTACTCTGGTGGCTAAAGATGGCAGAAAAAAAATGACACTCGGCTCCTTAAAAGGTGAGCATGCTCTGTCAGCCTGAGGGAGCCGCGCTTCCTGCCCAAGGCAGCCGGGGTCCCCACACCCGCTTTCGGACTGGCTGCTGGGGCCAGGGACTGGCAGCAGCCAGGAGCCTTCTAAGCCTGGCAGAGCTGGGAGAAGCCCTGGGAATCTCTTGCCGGCCCCCTCCCTTGACAGTTGGGGAAACTGAGCCCACTCACGACCTCCTCTCGCACCCCTAAACTGACGCTCATTTTGGAAAATACTAAGTAATCTCCAGGAGCCCAGGCTTTACTGTGTGAGTGTGTGTGTGACTATGCGTGTGTGAACGTCAGTATGTGTATGAGTGTACAGGTGCATACGTATGTGTGCAACTATGTGTGTGCATGTATATGTATGTGTGCACTTGTGTGTGTACTGTGAGTGCACGTGTGTGACTGTGTGTACTTGTACATGTGTTGAGTGTGAGAGTGCATATGTATGACTGTGCGTGTGTATATGTATGCGTGTATACGTGTGTACATGTGCATGAGTGTATGCATGTGTGTCACTGTGTGTATGTGTGTGACTGTGTGTGACTGTGTGTATCAGCGTGCATGGGAAACTTGTGTGAGTGTGCCTGTGACTGTCAGTGTGCATGTGAGACTGTGTGCGTGTGAATTTGTGTGACTAGATGTGTGTGTGCATGTGTGTGATTGTGCATGTGTGTGACTGTGTAAGTATGAGTGTGCATGTGTGTGAGCGTGCATGTGTGTCTGTATATACGTGTGACTATGTGAGTGCGTATGTGTGTGATAATGTGTGAGTGTGCATGTGAGTGTGCATGTGTGACTATGTATGTGTGTGTGTGCATGTGTGTGTAACTGTATGTGAGTGCATGTGAGACTGAGTGTGCATGTGTGTATGTGTGATTGTGTATATCTGTGTGACTATGCATGTAAGTGTGTACGTGTGACTGTGTATATGTGACTGTGTGAGTGTGCATGACTGTGTGTGTGTGCATGTGACTGTGTGTGTGTGTGACTGTGTCTTATTATGTGTGTGAGTGTGCATGTGTGCATAAGAGTGTGCACGTGTGTGACTATGTGAGTGTGGGTGTGCATGTGTGACTGCCTACACTACTCTCAGGGTGTGAAGGGTCCATCCCTGCCCCGCACATGCACCCTATGAAATTCCCCTTTCCCTGGGGGAGAGTGAGCAGTGGGACAGAAGGGCCCACCCCACTTCTCCTTCTCCCCCTAGTAACTCCTAGGGAACCCCAATATCCAGGTTGACCTCAGAAGAGAGGGTCCTTGGGAAGAATGTGCCAGGACACCCTCTGGCCGGGCTGATGAAGAGAAGGCCACCTGGGTGGAGTTGAGGAGGCCAGGCCGGGGGGATGCTAGGGCACCTGGACCCAGATTTCCACCTCTCTGAAATGGGGCAGCCAACCCTACTGACTCCACCTGGTTTCTATGAAGGTTAAACTGAGTAATGGGTCCAAAGTGTGCATGCACACTGCCAGTGCTGCTCCCAGTTGTGCTATGAAGTCGACACACCAGAAGCCAGCCTTGTGGTGAACACCTGGCCCTGCCCTTCTCCAGGTGCAACCATCCAAAGGCAGAGAGAAGATCTCCATATGTAAAATCCAAACAACCATGCTTCCTGGGCCTAGAGGAGCTCTCCCAAGTGAGATTCTGGGCAACAACCTAAGACCCCTGGACTACAGCTTGTGAGAATCACTCTAAGAGGTGACAGCGGGGGAGGGGAGACCCTGCATTCCATCTTGCTACTCTCTGGGTCTATTCATCTCCTGTTGGGCCACCCTATGGAGTCTCCACCCACCAACCCACCCATCCATCCAACCACACACCCATTCACCCATCCATACACCCTATTATCCATGCATCCATGCATCCATCCAGCCCTTCATCCGTCACCCCATCATCCATCCATCCATCCACACACCCATCCACCCATCCATCGACCCTATTATCCATGCATCCATCCACCCACCCATCCATAAATCCATGCATCCATCCATCCATCCATCCATCCACCCATCCATCTCTTTATCCATCCACCCTATAATCCATCCATCCATCCGTCCATCCATCCGTCCATCCATCCGTCCATCCATCTGTCCATCCACATACCCACCCATCTATACACCCTATTATCCATCCATCCATCCATCCATCCATCCATCCATCCATCCATCCATTCATCCATCCATCCATTCATCATCCCTTTATCCATCCACCCTATCATTCATTTATCCATCCATCCACAAATATTTTCAGTGGGGACATGCAGGAAAGAGGAACGAGTGAGGCTCTGGAGCTGGGATAAACCCTCAGGCTAGCCCAGCATTGGTGCTGTCATGAACACTGGAACAGACCCCTCCTCTTACACCCTTCTTCCCTGCACTCACTCACCTTCTCCAGCAGCTGCCTCAGCTGTTTTGTGCGGGCGTCCCGTGAACACATGGTCTGCTGGGGGGCAACCACTGTGCAGATACACCTGCCCTCGCTGTCTTGGGCAGAGCTGTACACCTGCCAGCTCTCCTCAGGGTTGGTGGGCAACACCTGGAGGGGGAGGGGTGCAGCAGGAGCAGGTGGGGGCAGAGGGAAAGAGGGAGGGAGAGAAAGTGAGGCCATAAGGCAGTGCATCGAAGGTCACCACCAGGGGAGATGGGCCCCATCCAACCCGAGGGAAGAGGCAGGAAGAAATGGTCCAAAGACCCTCTGACCACAGGGAAACAGGGGCACAGGCTCCCATCAGGATCCCCGGGGCTGGAAGGGAGACAACAAGGCACGACTCTTGTCACTTCTTTTTAATACAAGTTCAACCCAAGGGACATTTGAAGTTGTGCCATCTGCCTAAATTGCTGTGTTAGGTGGGGCGAGAGGCAGTTAGAGGCTGGGGGCTGGGCGGGGGGAGCCAAGGCAGGGAAGCCAGTGAGTGGCTGGCTGGCTTCTGGCATCACGCAGCTCAGAAATGACACCTCCTCCGCCGGGCAGGCCGGGTGCTGGCGCAGCCAGGCCACCCTGCCGCTCCCTGACACTTGGCGGAGGATGCCCCCGTGGTAACAGACCCAGCAGCCTATTAGCCCAGAGTTGCAGTGACCCACAGCCATCCCAGGGCCGTCCAACTCCAGGTGGCTCCCCGCCCAGGAGCCATTTGGTGAATTTCACCAACTTGGGTGACATGCTGTGCACGGGTCACCCCGACCTCAGTCCTGAGGCGTGCCCAAAGACCACCAAGAAAGCCAGAGCCGGGCCACGGTGGGGTCTCTTGCACCCAGCCCAAGCTGTCCTGAGGACCAGGTACACAGGGAGGGAACCCAGGTGGAAATGCACACGCCCTCCTGCCCGCCTGCCCGCCTGCCCGCCCGCCATGCCCCCTCTCCTCCCATCTCCTCCACCTTTCCCTCCACCACCTTTCCCTTCACTGGCCTCAGTCACTTCCCTGCTATTTTTAGCCTGGAGCTGGGAGGAGAAGTTGGGAGGGGAGAATCTATAGTAGTGATATATTTAATTTCATTCACTGCCGCCTCAGCAGCTCAGGACCCAGGGGGCAGGGAATGCTGTCATTACCAGGAACCGCTGTGCAAGTCTTGTTGAAACCTGGGCCAGATGGCAGTGATTAGGGTCTTGGGAGGGGGTCACATGGAGTTTTCCTAGCAGAGCTCTGAGCTCTCCCGGCAAAAAGGGAGCAGGAGCGGACACAGGTGTCCTTCACCTCTCTGCGTCCTTCACCTCTCCTTAGAGGGGAGGCTGTGGGCGGCCCCTGCCCCCCGCCCCCGGCGCATCTGGTCCCTTGATGGCGGTCTGGCTAGTTCTGCTCTCCAGACACCTGCTAAGTCAGCCCTGCCCCAGAAGCAGCTGGTCACTCATCCCTCTCCCCAAGGCCTCGAGATCCACGACTCTGGAGACAGGGCGGGAGGGGTTTGAGAAGGCGAGGGGCGCGCACCGCAGCGCACGCTCCCAGGGGCCCCGCCCGGCCCCTCTGCACCCCTCCTCCGCGCGGACCCATCTGGACCTTCCTATGGGGACTGGGAGGAAGGGCGTCTTGGAGACTTCGGGAGACTCACAGGCAAGGACTCAGCTCCCAGCTCCGCGGCTGGGTCCAGTCCGGCTTTTACAAAGGGGAATTAGTTCCCAGCCCAGACTGGGGTCTAGCCGCGACTCCACCCCTCACTTGGTAAGTGACCTTGGACAAGTCCCCAAGCCCCTTGGCCTCAGTTTCCTAATCTTTACGATAACAGTCTTTAAAAAAAGATTAGTTGAATGGAGACTACAACCCTCGGAGCCCTTCGCCGGTGTCCCCTGCCCCGTGAGGGGACCGGGCAGAGGTAGCGTTGCCCCAGGGGGACCGCGGGAGGACGACCGGTGGGTCTAGGGGCTTGGGAAGGCAGCGTCCCAACAGCAGCGCGGAGGGTCCGCCTCGGGACCCCTGCCCTTGCCCCCAACCCGCCGCCCACGACACGGGTCCGGCACGGCGCCCGCCCGGCCCAGGGCTGGGACGGCGGAGGGAGGGACGAGGAAGGGACACGCGGGGCAGGCGGCAGGGCGCACTTACGCCGGTGCTGCGGTCGAGCGTCCCGCCGCTGGCCGCCGAGAGCTTGGTGGTGTTGAGGCCCACCAGCGAGGGCAGCGTCTGGGACATCCAGTTGGTGATCATGGCCATGGTGCTCAGCACAACCCCGATCTTCAGCAGCGGCACCGACATCGCGCCTTGCGTCGCCTCCTGGCCCGCGCCGCGCCGGCACCGGCTCCCGAGCCCGGGGCAACCTCAGACGGCGGGCACCGCGGCGGGC